TGAATTGAAAGAAATGAAGTGAATATATAAGAAATGTAAATTGTATATTTAATAATAAGAAATTATCAGTAAATATATAGAGGTCATTAAATATAAAAAGAAATGCATTCCTCTAAGTAGTAAAGATGTAAGAAGGAGTAACTATGACAGGAAATATTAAATCTAAAATACTCAATTGTGATGCTTTAAAATATTGTAAACATTGTCCTAACACAATTCCATCTATTAGCCAGATTTTGTTAGGATGTAATGAAGAAGAATCAAATATAAAAACATGATTATGTATGTAAACAAATATATAAACATATATTATTTACATATTTTATTGAATTTGTTGAAATAGATTTTAATACATATCATAAATGTATTAATAATGATGAAATGATTATAAATTACATTAATGATTTATTGGTTAGTGACCATTCTTTTAATGCTAGAATATCAGATATATGTTATCAAAACATCAAAGATAAAAAATGATATATTAATGATGTTGATATATGTCAATATAGAAATATAGAATTAAATTATATTTACAAATTAAATAAATAAATACGGTCACGAAATTATGCATTTTATTCGTATTCATCATTACATTATTATAATGATTTGTGATGTTGTTCATTATTTCATAATTGCTGTGTAAATAATGAATGTCTTCATTGTTTGTTTAAAACATGATGTTTATGTTTGATAGATCATTGAAATGAATTATCATAATGCAAATTAATTCTTGTTAAATGTTTAAAAGGTAAAAATAGTAGAAAATATTATTAGATGGAAATATTTGTGATTAAATATGAGAATAACATATTTGTAAATTATTAGTTATATCTTTCTACTTCGATTTCTGTATTAAATGAATATATCTGTTGATGAAATTCAAATAAAATAAATATAAAATGATAAATGATAAAAGAAAGAATAAAGAAAATAATAAGAAAGTAAATATAATGATTAATGATAAAATTAATGAGTTATTATCATGAATGAAAGTTGAAGATGAACATTAAATTCATTATTATTATTTATAAATGTTTAATTTATAATTAATATTAAATAGTTACTCTTCATTCTGTATTATTGTGTTGATGTTTAAATTATTCAATTTGTTATTATCATATCATCATTTCATTGATACTTGTTATTTATTATCTTTTATTTATTTCATCATTTAACTCTTGTTTGATATGATAATATAAATAATTTACATTGTATATTATCATCATTCATCATTGATAATCATCTGTGATATAATTTAATTTTCATATCAATAAATATATCATTTAAATAAATAAATAATAACATTTGTTAACATATCATTATGACATCTCATCAATATGATAAATGAAATGGAACATATTTACACATTAATAACAATAAGATGGATATTCATATTTATATAATCATTGTTATTCATAACTAACATTATAAATTTGAATTAATATAATGCTCTTCTTTATTACATTTCATAATGATATTTTCACATTAAAATAGAATTGATGGTAAATGAAATAAAGAATAATATAAAATGAAGAGATTTATGAATAAATATACTCAACAAATCAAGATACATCATACTCAAGACAACAAGAAGTTACAAAGTGTCAACTGATTGATATAGATTTCATATTTTACCTATTTTTTATTTTAATTTATATTTTATAATTTTAAGAGAAAATAATAGAAAACAGAATAATCTAATATTCAAAAAATATATTACACCATCTTCATTTGAGCAATTTATTTAAATGCATAATTTCTTCGCTTATTTTGGTTCCTAATCAAATACTATCTTGAAATGAAAATATCACAATAAATGAAATAGATGAAATGTATAAATATTTAAATGTATGATAACAGATGAAATTAATAATATGTTCAATTATAAAATCATCAAAGAAAAGATAATGAAGGAAAATGATGAAATAATTATTGAAGAAAGTAGTAATATAAGATATAATACAAGAATTAATAATGAATTAATCAATATCTTCACATCATCATTAGTAGTAAAACAGAAGGTAAATTAGATAAAATAGAAATTGAGATAATAAAATAGATAATAAATACAAATATATTAGTGTTGGTAATTCTAAAGACAATCTATATATCAATATAAATGAAATAATGAATAATAAACATGAATGATGAATATGTTAATGAAATAATTAGAATAGTGATGTATTATAGTATAAGAATGAAATAATAAATAATATATTAGATAGATGATATTCAAAGAAATGAATAATGAATATAAATAAAAAATAATAAAACATAAAATCAAAGAAATAGAAATAAAATAAATAATAAAAGAAATGATTGAAAATAAAAATAAATAATAATAATAAATAAAATAATGATATAAACAAATATCAATAAATTGAAATTAAATAAATGGATTTTTAGAATATTGATTGAATCAAAATCTATAGATAAAACTACTACAATCAATTCACTGAAGTGAATCAATACTAAGAAGAATACATTTCTTCAATTAACTAAAAGACAAGATGAAATAATATTCAATATGTACAGAAAAGATAAAATATTAAAAAATGATTAAAATACTATCCACTTTGTAAAGATAAGATAGCCACAGTAGAACATACTCTGCAGAATTACTAGAAAAAGGTTCAGAGATAGAACTAGTCTCTGCTGAGCAAGAAACAATAGAAACCAATTTTATTAACACTTAATTAATTGTTTTTTATTATCTTTAGACTGAAATATTATTCAAGGGTTTATGAAAATCATAAAAACAATGACACATTATAAACAAAATAAATTTACAGATACAAATGACCTTTCTCATTAACAGCATCATAAAATGGATGGACATACACCTCAATCAATGGGTTTTGAAGAATGTATTTTCTAAATTCTTTTATAAAAAGGAATGGGTCATATGAAAACCAATTTTGAATAAATAAAAGAGTAGGGTGAGTAATTTCTATAAGTAAAGTACTTGTTGTTATGAGATCCTTAATTTCTAATTGCATTTCATATTTTTCATAAATCATTTTCCCACAGTATTGACATTGAATATCTTCTTTTCTATGATCTCTTTGAATACACCCACATTTATATTCAATACAATCGTCAATATTTTCTGGATATATTTTACAAACAATACATTTAATTCTCATTACTTCAATTTCTTTAATTTTATTATATGTAAAATTTCTTATTTCTTCAACTGTATAACAACATTGTTGACAATAAACCATCTGAACTCCTAATGGAGCAAGTGTAATACCACTAGTTTGTGTTGAACGATTTGAGTATTCATCGAACCATTGGCTTTGTTTTATTTTCTTTTGTTTATTTTCTTTATTAACAATATCTGTTATAACTGTTGGTTCTGGGTCTTTCCTGATTTCAGATATTTCAGAAAAGTTAATTGTATTTAAGTCTTTACTTGCTATTTTAAATTTTTCTTCATCACTATTGTTTTTGATATTTTCTTTTATTATATTTTCAGTTCTTTCTGTTGACTCATTCATTTTCCTTAACAAAGTACTAGCACTTCGTATTTTCTTTAAATGAATAAGTTTTTTAATTACACTAATGTACTTCTTTAAACATTCATCTTTTGGGTATTTTTCTTCTACCCTCTTTATCATTTCAAGAATTATGTCTTTTGGAAGTTGTCTTGCTAATCTCCCAACTCTTTCAATAATTACTTGTTCATTTCCTTTAATAGCTATAACAGTAGAATGTTTGGTAACTTTAAGATAAAGTCTTCTATCTCTACCAGTAAAAGGTAATGTATCAGTGAGATAAATCCAGTCCCCAATATCAAAACTTTCATATTGGCCTTTCTCTAAACATACTATATACACATTCCCACATTGAGGTAGAGGAACTTTCCATTCAAAAAGTTTATCTAATACCACTCTTTTTTCTTGAACAATATTTTTAATAGTATCATTTACGTAAAAGTGATCATATCCAAAAAAACAATTTAGACAAAGAACTGTTTTATGTTTGCTTACTTGAGAAGAATAAGATATTATATATGCCAATAAATTCTTAATAGGAATTTGAGAATGAATGTGTTGATTCATCATTGATATATCAAGACTTAATGGATATCTTACTAGAGAAAGATAAAAATAATACCAGTGATTATATAAATTCATTAACAATTTTGTTGTATGTTCATCTAATTCAAATCGTTCATTAAAATTTGTTTTACTAAGAAGTTTTCCCTTTTTATATTCACATAAAATCATTTCTTCACATTTTCCAATAATCATTTTAGGAGGTGTTTGAATTGTTTCAGGAAACACATCAAAGTTATTAAATCGAATTAATACAATATTTGATACTTTTAAATCTTTTAAATCAATTGATTCAACTTCTAATATTCTATTTCCAAAACCAATAAACTGTAAAGGATTTCTTTGAATACAAATTCCATAAAATGTTTTTCCTTCAAGAAATTCTTTATCTGGGATTTGAGGAAAGAAGTCATCAGGAGTAAACATTGATGGCATTTGAAGAATAAATCTTTTTAAGTTCTTTTTTCTCTTTTCAAACTAAAAATAATAAAAAATGGAGAATAACTCAAGTTTTATTATATTTGTTTATTCTTTATTCATTTATAATTAAATTATTTGATGAGACCTTATGAAGAGAACTTATTTTTCTATCTAAACGTACTTCTGATTTTCTTAATCTTTTTGAGAATGAATTGATTCTTTTCATAGTATTTTTAACTTGATTTCTTTCTTGTTGTTCTGAATCAATACTATTGTCCATTACAATTGTTGCTCTTCCTACTTTCTTTTTATTTTTTCTAAACTCTTTTACAATTTTAAAAACAGAATCAAAATCTATTCCATAACGTTGTTGAATAGAATTTCCAAGTTGTTTTGCAAGATTATCGCTTTCATATAAATCAGTATAACATATTTTTTCAAGTCTACTCTCATATCTTAAAAGATCTTCAAGAGAATGGACTAGTGTTTTCATATCATCATAAGATGTTTCTGTTTCATTTAGTGATTTATTAAAATAACTTTGTATTTCTTTAGTTTTCTTTAATTTTTGTTGAAGAATTAAATTCTTTTCTTCCATTTCTTTTATTTTATTTTTCATTTCATCATCTTTGACAATACTAATTGCTTCTACTTGCCCATTTTTAATAATAATATCACAACGACATGATAACACTCTATTGAGTGTTTGTGTATTTAACATTTGAATAGTTTCTGCATGAGCTTCCTTTTCTTTGATTAGTTCATTTGTAGTTTTTTGTTGTTCGTTTACAATAGAAAATATTTCTGTCTTCATTTCTTCTATTTGGTGAATTGCAACCTCTAATTTTTTTTCATTTCATCTCGTTCATCTCTTATTTTGTTATATAATTTCATTAAATTATTAAACTGTTCTAATACTTCTTGCCATTCTTGAATAACGTAGTTATTCATTTTCTTAAGTTCTTCTATAGTTTCTTCTTGGTCTTCACAACTGTCTAACTCACTTGATGAAAATTCATCAGAAGAGTCAATAAGAGAAGATACTTCTTCTGTGTCTTGGGTTTCACTGGTGCCTTGTTCTTCAGAGACCATATTATTAATGCTCATTTTACAATTAATAATTTTTAGTTAAACCCTTAAAATGTTCGCCTATAAAGAAAAAAAATTCTAACAAGAAAAATAGAATTAAAATCTATATAAGCCAAAATCCATTGAAAACAATTGTTTCGTTTTGTTGGATTTCTGTTGTTTCAGTGATTTCTGATGTTGTCATAGTTCTTCCATTTGTTGAATAGCTTGTTGATGAATAAATTCGAGTCATTGAATATGGTTCTTCTATTCTGGAATGGTGGTAACTTCTTTCACTTGTGTGAAGGTGTTTTCTATGTCTTAATCCACTTTTCCCAACATCAAAAGTTGTTAGAGTTAATTCTGTTGATTTTTTTGGTGTGGGTAAGGGTTTTGTTATATGACTAGTTTTTTCAGAAGTAATTTTAAGAGAATTTTCTTCATTTTTTTTATTAGTAGTTGTTGAAATTGGTTCGTCAACACACTCTTTAACTCTCCCATTTTGCATAACATCCTTTAGTACAATTGGTCTAAATGAATTTTGTTCTTGTGCGTGGTGATTAATCTCACTTTTTGTTTGGGTAGAAGGTGGTGGAGCAGGAGGTACTTTTTGAGGTGGAATAGAAACACACTTCTTTTTAGGTTGTTGAGGAAGTGGATTATGATTTGTTAAAACCTCTTCTTCTTTGCTTTGTTCTTTTTCCTGTGTTGTTTGTTTTTTGAGTTGTTCAAGAGCTTGTTGTACAAGTTGGACAAGATCTATTTGTATGACTGATGACTTATTCTTAAAAGCATTCATTAAGAATTCAAAATAGAAACAAAATACTCTAAAATCAACAGTATGAGCCAATACATCTTCAGTAGTTAATAATTCACTTACACCTAATAAATCATGTGCCATTCTCATAGATAAACCAATTCTTTCACCTTCTCCTCTTTTTAACATCCAGTCATAAAAACAATGATGTTGATCAAAAAACAAATCAAGCAAAGCTATGAGAATTTTTCCATTGAAAAAATTTTCCATCATCTTGGTAGTTGAAGATAAATCAATTTCGTACAGACTAAGTATATCTTGAAGCCATTTAAGAATAATTTCATATTGTTGTTGTTGAGAGAGTTGTGGAGAAAGTAGGTTAGATTTATGATGATTCATATATACTTGAAATAATAATCCTAGAAGATATTTAAAATCAGAATTACCATTTACAATATTTTCAGCAGAACAAAGGGGTTTAATTCTATACACCTTTTCAATAAATCTTAAAGCGACTGAACAGTTTGAGATATTTTGGATCCTAAATTTTGGATTTTCAACGATTTTCTCAGAGCAGTGTTTATTAGTTAACTTTTCTACTAACAAGATAAGACTCACTCCTGTTTTCATATCTTCTTCTAAGTTAGAAATAATAATATCAGGTTTCAGTGTATCATTGATCCAGTCAACAAAGATTGTTTCTTGTGCTTTTTGCCACTGTCCATCAATCTTTTTCATTACTTTTTTTTTTATTCTAATTAAGATGATCAAACAATAAATAATCCTTTCGGTTCAATCTTGTCAATTTGTATGAGATAAGTTAATTTTTTAGTAGGAAAATTGAATAACCTTCTTACAAAGAAAGACAATTTTTACAAAAAAGGAATAAATTAAAAATGAAATAATATAGCAAATGATGACAATGATATTTTGAGAAATTAACAATTATACCATGACCATTTCGACAATACCTTTAAACCCATTTTTGTGGCAACTCAAAGTAATAAATTTATCAGTTAATAATTCAACACAATCTGGCCGAAGATTTGGATTAAAACATGTGCATTGTTTCATAACACGTTTAAACTCTTTAGAAGATTTACTATTCTTTGGCTCAGGAATTCCTTCATTTACAATAGCTTTCATAAGTTCTTCTCCACGTAATTCATAATGAGGTGGATAACCTTCCAAGAGTTCAAATAAAACAATCCCAGCACTATAAATATCAATTTTATTATTATACACTTTATCCAGTATAACTTCTGGTGGCATCCAATAAGGAGAACCAACCATTCCTTTTGCAGTTTTTCCTTTCACAGCAAAACCGAAATCAGCTAATTTAATATCACCATTTTTATTGATCAAAATATTGTCTGATTTAATGTCTCGATGTATCATGTTGTTGCCATGTAAATATGCTAATCCCATAATAATTTCTTTCATCACAAAAGCAATTTGTGAATCATTTAAAGTAAGTCCATAGCTATATTGATTTAATAAATCTGTTAAACATCCTCCATCCATATATTCCATTGCAACCCAAAGATATCCATCATCAAGATAAGACCCAATAAAGGATACAATATTTTTATGATTTAAAGATTTATGAATAGTTATTTCTCCAATTAAATTATTCATATTTTTACGTGTTACTATAATCTTTTTAATAGCAACTTCTTTGTTTGTTGCTCTTTCGTTTGCTCGGTAAACTTCTCCCATTGCTCCTTCACCAACCTTCTTTATATTAACAAGAAATTTAGCTGGACATCCTTCATCAACTATTTTATCAATTGATAATGGTTGTGCTTGAATTAATTGCATAGTACGTGGTCTTTTGATTTGGCGTTCTTTTCGTTTGATGTACAAATCAGATTCTTTTTTTGTTGTTATTGTACGAGGAGATAATTGTGTTCGAGTAATTGGTGATTCAGATCGTTTAAATGAAATTGTTTGAAGAGATCCTTGATGTGGAAGTGATCCCTGACTAAACTGAATTTGAAGTGTTTGAGAAGGAACTTCTTTATTTTGTCGAGGAGATGAGGTGTAATCATTTATTACATGAACATCAAATACTCCTGTTTTTTTTGTTGTATTAAGATTTAAACAAGGGACCTTTCTTGGAGTGGTTGTTATAGACGATGACGCTGTTGTGGTGGTTGGTGATTGTCTAACAAAAGTCATTTTTTTATCTTCTTTTGTTGGGGATGTTTCAATGCTCATTCTAATAACAGAATTGTGTGTTGGTGTTTCTGATATTGAGACTCTTGGTGTTTGTTCTTTTCTTGGTGAAACTGGCTCTGGCTCAACGACTACTTTATTAATACTTTTGATTTCTTTAAATTATTTAAAACTCGAAAAAAACAAACAACCAAATAGTCGTGAAAAGAATCCACTAAATGTTCTTGGAGAATAAGGTTGTCTAAAAGATAAGGACTTTATTTATTATCTAAATTTTTTATTTAACAAACTCCATTAAATATGAAAATATGTTTTTTAGTTATGTGCAATTCATTTTTTTTGAAGAACTTTATTTCCAACCAAATCCACTTTTTGGTTAATTCCTCTATTTTAAGAGATTACCTAATATAACTCTTTATAATTAATATTATTATATATCTAATTATTTTCCTTGATAGAAGGTCTTTGATATAATACCTCACCTCCAAAATACATCTTTCCATTTTTTATTTGAACAAAAATGGTTAACAACTATTGTGATAATCAAAAATTGATACTTACCTAAGTAATAAAAGTCAGTTGAGGTCCAAAAATATACCTCTTTTTATTAAATCTCATAGAAAAATCTTAACTGATTCCTAAAAACTTTTGTTTTAGAAAATTAAATATTATAAATCTGATTCACTGGTTAATATAATTGTAATTTGTAGGATAAATAATCTCACATAAAACTTTTATGATTTCTTTTTTTTTAGAAAATTTTTTCGCTTGTAAACATTACTAACTTTTTTATTTTTTCCTTTATTCTATTGTCATAATCTTTTAGGGTCTCATTAAAAAACGCCATACATTATTTTGTTTTGAAATATTAATATTAAGTCATTAAAGATATTCAACGTTTTAAGTCCAATTTATCTCCTAAAGAAAAAAGATTCAACCATATATTTTCTTATTGAGATGAACAGTAAATTACTTTTAAATTTAGTACTTTATCATTGATTATTTTTTTATTAATTCATTAAACAATAACAAAAATCGATAAAGTATCAAAAAACAAATCGTTTAAATAAAATTTTTATTATTTTAGCAAATTAGTCACATACAAAAAGTTTCAATATTGTGACTTCTCAAAATAATAAAAGTTGAATATGTAAATATCATTATTAAATTATTTTTTTTAAGTCACAATACAGTGTTGTAACTCCTAAAATATTATTTCTCAATGAAATAACTTTTTCATTCTTAATAATTAAATTAAAATATAAAATCATTAAATAAATACACTACATTTATTTGTTATTTTCTGATTTAATTTAATTTTTTCTTATTTAGTCAGATTATTGATATTTTTGTTTTCATCCTAAGTAATATTAAATAAATCATTCAGTAAAAACTTTTAAACAAAAATACTATAAAATATAACAATATTCTTTTGATAAAATAAATTATTATAAAAAAGAAACTTAAATTAACAACACCCTCCTTTCTTTTGTTTCTTTTTACCATCTAATTCAATACCTTCTTTTTCTTGTTCGCTACAAAATGGAGTCTTCATGACTTCTTTAATTAGTTCATTAAATAAATCTTCAAGTCCATCACCTGTTTTAGCAGAGACTTCAAAATATTTTAATTCAAGTTCTTTAGCTTTTTCTTCAGCCTCTTCTTTACTAACAACTCTATTTTCCAAATCAATCTTATTACCAGCAAGGAAAATGATATGTTTGCCATTATACTTACAACATTGTTCAACCCAATTGGAAACGTTTTCAAATGACTCTTTATTACTTACATCAAACATAATAATAGTTGCCATGGCATTTCTAAAATAATTACCAGTTAATGTAGCAAAACGTTCTTGTCCAGCTGTATCCCAAATTTGAAGTTTAACACATTTTCCATCAACTTCAAGTTCTTTACTTCCTACTCCAACTCCAATAGTTGCTTTAGTTTGTTCAGCAAATTCATTACTAACATATCTGTTCATACAACACGTTTTTCCAACAGAAGACTCTCCCACCATAATAACCTTTATTTTTTGTTGTTCATTAGACCCATTCTTCTTTTCTTCTTCTTTGATTTCTTCTTCTTTTTTTACTTCTTCTTTATGTTCTTCTTCTTTATGTTCTTCTTCTTTATGTTCTTCTTCTTTATGTTCTTCTTTGTGTTCTTCTTCTTTATGTTCTTCTTCTTTATGCTCTTCTTTATGCTCTTCTTTATGCTCTTCTTCTAATTTTGTTTCTTCTTTATTTTCTTCTTCTTTGATATCTTTTTTTGGTTCAACGTCTAATTTTTCTTCATCGTTTGTAAGAATTGTCTCTTTAGTATCAGTCATAACTGGCTACTTCTTTTTTAGTTTTCTTGGTCTATGATTGAAATTAAAGTAATGAAACGTGGAGTCACGTGGAAGTTATGTAGTAAAATTAAACTAGCACCATTTTTGTTTCTATCTCATTTTATAAAATACATCTATTATAAGGAATAGTCTGAGTTTTAGAGTTTTCTATTTAGAAATAATGAGAAACCAACAAAAGAAATTTTTTTTAAATATGAAATATTGAAAGAAAAAGGGAAGAGTAATTAATTAAGAATAAAAATACAAAACTCTAAATTGTACTATTCTTTTTATATTTATGCTTTATTTCATAAACTAAAAATGTAAATTTTCTTAAACAATCTATTTATTAATATCCTAAATTTATATTATTATATTAAATTATTAAATTTAATAACTTGTAGTTTAGTTTTTAGTTGTTTGGAATACAACAAATAAAAACAAGACAATAAAAAAAAAGAAGAAATGAAAATCATTTATTGTGCTGTTTCATTTGGACCTTTCATTTCAAGTTTCTTTCCTGTGATTGTGGTATACATCTCAAGACAATCTTCGACTGTAGTTTCAAAATGAGATGTAGCATCATATGATTTAGTAATATAAACTCCATCTTGTTTTGGATCATTAATTGGTTCAAATGAATCCGTGATAGAAATAAATTGTTGTTCAATAGGTTGTAATAATTTTAATCCTACTTCAACTTCTTTTTCTGGATTACTAGTTTCAACTGTTGTACCAACAATAGCAATATACTTTCCTTTTGGACAAACTTGGTTATTACCTGATAATACTGAAATATAAATATCTGATTTTCTTCCAACTTGTTTTTGTGGCATTATAATTTGACATGATTCAGCATTGTCTGTGTTAGCAACTGGATGATTTAAAATACAAATAGCACGAATAACTTGTCCAACTTTCTTAACTTTATCTGGGAAGTAAGATGGATCTGCAATGATATTAGAACATTTAGCAACTTCTCCACTTTCAAATTTAACTCCTGCAACTCTTCCATTTTCAAAAACAATTTCTTGAATCTTAGCTCTTAACATATAAGTTCCTCCATAAAGAGCAGACATACGTGCAAATGCTTGAGGAAGTTCACCAAGTCCATATTCTGGATAAATGTATGGTGATTTTTGGAATCTTGAAAGTGATTCAAAGTATAATACTATCTTCTTAACTGTTTCAATAGCTGGTCTTGTAAGATAACTATCTTCTCTATAAAGAGCAATTGTATGTCCAACAAATTCAATTGTAGCATCATCAAGACTGAAATCTTTAAATAACTGTGCCATAGTCATACTTTTAAGGTTTCTTCCTTTATGTGTTTCTGGTTTGTTTTCATCATAGTTTTGAAGATAAGTTAAGAAGTTCTTAAATCTATTCTTTTCAAAGAATCCTAATAATGGAGTAGAAACAGTTTCTGCAACTGTGGCTGGAATTTTATAAACCTTTCCCTTAGTAAAGACATATGAACCATGAATAGCTCTGAATTGTAAATAATTATGAACATTACAATGAAGAAGAAGATTAACCATTTCTCCTGAACTCATAATGAATTTTGGAATAATATCAACGTTATAATCTCTTGGTCTACCAAGAGACTCAGGAGCAGCTTTTCCATTAGCAAATGTATCAAATAATTGTTTAAGGTTTAACGAAGCTGAAGCACCTCCATAGTAATCGTTCTTATCAAGATGGAATACTTTTTTTCCATCAACTGAAAGAAGTCCTGAAAGAATACATTCTTTTAATCCAGTTCCAAGTACAATAGTATCATAAGTGTCTTCCATAATAACAACAATTTACTAATTAAAACTAGATTTCTATATCAAGAAATGGTGATGTTTTTTATTTTTAAAATATTTGAATAACACTTAAATTAAAAAATTTTGTTATTTAAAAAATAAAATATCGAGAAAAATCCAAAAATAGAAGTATGAAAAACTTAAAAAAACTTTTACAAAAAGATAAACTAGAGATAGAAAACTGATGACTGAAGAAGCTGCTAAGATGTGTTTAGTTGGAGATACTAGTGTTGGAAAAACATGTATAGTAAATAGGCTAGTTAAAGGTGTGTTTAATAATTCTGAAAAATCAACTATTGGATCAAATTTTGTTACTGCTTCAATTCAAGTTGATAACAAGCCATTTAGACTAGCTATTTGGGATACTGCTGGACAAGAAAAATATCGTTCTATGGTTAGTATGTATTATCGGTTTGTAAGTATATGTTTTTGTTTTTTAATACATTAAATTAATACAATAATGTAGTGGGTCACTTGGTGCAATGCTTGTTTATGATGTAACTCAAGAATCCAGTTTCCAAGATGTTCGTATGTGGCTTGACGAATTAAAAAATACAGAAAAAGATATTGCTGTTATTATTGTTGGTAATAAATGTGATTTAGTGGCAAATCGAGTAGTATCAACAGTTGATGGTGAAAAACTTGCAGAAGAATTACACTGTTTATTTTGTGAGGTTTCTGCATTAGATGGGACAAGTTTGTTAATTATTTTGTTATAGATTTTAATTAAAGTTATTTACAACAAAAGACATTACCCACGCATTCACTGAACTTGCTAAACATATGAAATTACCAGAAGAGGGTCCTCAATATGGATTAACACCTAACCAATTAAATAAACAGAATAATAACAATTGTTGCTAACTAATGAAAATTTATTCTTTTAAGTTTTATTTTAGAAGAAGTAAAGAAATAAATTGAATGTGAGATATTTATTATTTACTTCTTTGAGATCTAAAAATGATAAAACGAAAAAACTATAAATAAATAAATAATATACTATTAATATACTAATCTTAAAAATTTTTTAAAGAAAATAAAAAACCCTAGAACTTTTTTTTTTGAACACAACAACCAATGGCTGTGAGAGTCACTTACGTTAGAAAACACTCCTACAATACTAAGTCCAATGGAATTAGAATCGTTAAAACTGCTGGAGGAAACATGACTGTTCAACACAGACAAAAAATCTCTAATGGAGTTAGATGTGGTGACTGTGGATGTGTTCTTGCTGGTATTAGACACATCAGACCACACCAATATGGATGGTTAGGAAAGAGCAAGAGAACTGTTACTCGTGCATATGGAGGAGTTAGATGCCATAAATGTGTTCAAAAGAAAATTCTCAGAGCTTTCTTGATCAATGAACATAATTTGATCAAATTAGCTGCTGCTAAGACCAATCTTGAAAAGAAACAAAGTGTTAAAGAAGATAAGAAGAAAGCTACTAAGACAGTCAAGAAGGCTGACAAGAAGACTCAAAAGAAATAAAGTAATTCATATTGTGCCGTGGCTTTTTAAAAAGAAGTATTATGTTTTTGTCATGTTTTTAATTTAATTAAAGAAAAAGAAAAAATGAGTAATTGAGTTGTTGAAACAATAAAGTAAATAACTCCTTTTAATAATTTTTCATAACTTCAAAACTTAAAAATCTTTATTTCTAAAAAATTTTATTATTCTATTCTTTATGTGCACTAGTATTAATTTGAGAAATACTAAACTCATTTTACGTTCTAAATGTCCTTTGATTGATACTGTAACTTCAGGAAATGATGAGGTTCCAAAATATAAATTCCCTTCCTCAGTTAAAGACATAGTTTCTTCTTCAACTAATATTCTTTATGTCACTGAAACAGATGACCTTTATATCTCTGGTCATGTTTTTGATCCTACATCAAGAGGAAAAGTCTCTCTTTTCTCACAGTCAGTTACAGACAATGCAAAACCTGATGACATCATTAAAACACCACAAAAAATAGAAGGAGTTCCTAAACCAATTGATAAGGTATCAATGGGAAGTTATTTTTGTGTTGTGTTAAGTAAAGGGAAACTGTATTCATGGGGTGCATATGAAGGTGGACAATTGGGTATTCAAGATGTTTTTAATCCATCTAAGCCAGAGTTAGTTCCACAAATAAATGATATAAAGGACATTTGTTGTGGAGGGTATCATACATTAGCATTAAACATATGGGGAGAAGTATTTTCATGGGGCAAAAATGAATTTGGACAATTAGGAAGAATAAACACGTCGAAAAAAGAAATTCCATCACAAATACCATCATTAAGAAACTACGTTGTTTCAAGGATATTTTGCGGAGGATTTTGTAGTGCATGTATTACAGATCAAGGGATGGGGTATATTTGGGGTAAACATCTTAAAATGAAAGAACTTAAAAGAATTCCTACACAACTTAATCTTAAAGGAACATCGTCCTCTTTTCCTTTTATCATTTCTATTGAATTAGCATATAATGATATTTTTATTGTATTACATGATGGTAGATTATATAGGTTTATTGATTTTGATCAATTTGAAGAAGTTGATTTATTATCAAGAATTGGTGTCATCCGAGCAGTTGGAGGTATTCATTTTACTTTAGTTGAAACAGATAGTTCAGACGTATATCAAATATATCCAAAAGAAGGTAAAACATCTACACTAAGTATTATGTTTAAAAAAAAAGAATTAGGAGAAGATACTCATATAAGAAAAATTTGTTTAAATGGTGGAGCAACATTAGTACTATTTGATAAAAATCCACAATATGACGCAGTAAAGAAAATTGTATTATTCTTAAGAAAATTCCTTAGGCAATTAGAAGGTGTTGTTTCTAATTATGCAGATCCATGCGCTTCTTTTATTAAACAATTAGAAAATTCAATAGGAAGATCAACTCGAATGAGCACTCCAAGAAAATCTTCTAAAAGTTCATTAGGATCAAGGTTAGATAGGTCTTCAGTCAGTGCAATAGAAAAAGAAGAAGAAAGTTATATTCCATCCACTGATGATGTACAAAAAATATTTTATGGAATAAAACCATTAGCATATTCATTACCTGCAATATTACATAATTTTGTTAATGCTTTAAATGAATGGTATCCAGGAACTACATTATATGAGTCATTAGAAAAATTTTTAGAACTCAACATTACAAGACAGTTTGTTACTATTTCAACTAATCTTGGTGAAAGCTTTAGTACATTACAAATGATTAAAAAGAAGTCAAGTGATGTCCAACAATTTTTAAAGAAACAAGAACAGTCTTTTAATCAATTTGAATTTGATGTAATTTTTGATAAAAAAAATGATCTTCCTTCATTATTACTATTACCTATTAAATTTCTTCCTCAATTTTATTCATTAATAAAAGAATATCATAAATCTTTACCACCAATTCATCCTGATTTTCTTCATATCAAACAGTTATTTAAACAAATGGATAAATTATTATCAAGAATTAATGATTCTTTTCATCTTGATAATATTTTTGATATTGTTAAATGTTTTCCTGATGAAAATGGATCTGTTTCTATTACTTCAGGTACTACAACAGAATTAATAAATCGATTATACAATATGAATTTAAATGATCCAGAATATGTTGATATGTTCTTAATGATACATAAAAAATTTACGTCATCAGAAGAAGTGTTAAAAAGGTTTTCAGAAGTTTATAATAACTTAAGTACTAGTCAAGAAATTAAATCATGTATTCTTTCAGTTATTAACCAATGGATAAGAAATTATACTGCTGATTTTGAAAAGAAACCAGAACTAATTTGTATGATTAAGTCATTCATTTCAAAAGAAATAACTTCAGATAAAGTTGAAGTATTAAATTCAACACTTTGTGGAATTGGAACAGCACTTGCCTTAAGAATGAGAAATAAAGTATTTTTACCTGTTCAAACAAATATTAAAATACCTTATCAATACTTTTTCCCTGGAAATGTTATGCCTTTTGCCCAAACATTAAATTACTTTAATTCATTAATATTTTCAAGAGTTACGTATGAAGAATTGATTGTAATGAATTACAGTAAACCAGAAAATAAACCATTAACTCCAAATATTCAAAATATGACTGAACGATTTAACTGGATTGGAGATACTATAGTCGATTGTTTTAATGAATGTCCTAAAGGAGACAAAGTTCAATTTATTCAAGGACTTATATTATTTATGAAAACAATTCAACAATTAAAAGATATTCATTTCTTAGTCGCATTAGCATACACACTCCCTAGACTTGATTTAGATTCTATTAAGAGTAAAAAAATCAGTGAAGAAGATAAAAATTATTTAAATGAGATAGAAGAATTGTGTACATTTAAACAAAATTATAAATATCTTAGAGCTTATTTAAGCCAATTGGAAACACCTTATATCCCTTTTATAGGAATTTTAAGTAAAGATTTAATGCTTATTGACGAAGGAAATCCAGATAAATTAGGTGATGGAACAATTAATTTATATAAATGGAGAAAAGTGTATGAATTGATTCAACAAGTATTAAACGCTAAAGGGCAAACAACAAAGAACAGTTGTTACAATGAAGAAATTCAAATATTAGTACAGAGAGTGTATTCACTTTAATAAATGACTTGTTAATTATCTTTTATTATGTATTTTAAACACAAAAAAAGGTTAATTATAAATATACCCACAATTAGATTTTCTTCGTATTGAGAAGTGATTACCTCAGTTTCTTTAACACGCTCTACTTCTATCATAGAGTTTATTTCCATCATGCTTTATTGTTTTAAACACAAATAAAAAAGAATTCATCTAAATAGAATAGTGAAGAACATTCATTTTTCAGTTCTTTAGAATCTTTGATTCTTTCAATTCATTTACAACAAGAGATGAAATATATACTTGCCATTGATCAAGGCACTACAAGCACTAGAGTTATTTTGTTTGATGAAAAGTGTCAATCAGTCCACACAGAACAAGAAGAATTTGATTCTATTTTTCCACATCCAGGTTGGGTTGAACAAGATCCTGAAATAATTTATACTTGTGTTGTTAATTTGATGAAGAGGTGTCTTGTTAATACTGGCATTAATAAACAAGACATTGCAGCTATTGGAATAACTAATCAAAGAGAGACCACAGTTATGTGGGATAAAAGAACTGGAAAGCCTATTTATAATGCAATAGTCTGGCAATCCAAACAATCAGGAAATGAAACGTCTTATCTTATGGAGAAGGGTTATGGTGAATTGTTTCATTCTAAAACTGGATTAGTACTAAATCCTTATTTTAGTGCTAGCAAAATTATGTGGATATTTAATCATGTCGAATGTGCAAAAGCATTAGCCAAAGAAGGTGTTTTATTATTTGGGACTATTGATACTTGGATTATCTATAATCTGACTGGAGGTCAAAGTCATTTCACTGACATATCAAATGCAGCACGTACATTATTGTTTAATATTTACGAAAAGAAATGGGATGATGAATTATTAGTAAAAACAGATATTCCAAAGTCAATTCTGCCAGTAGTTAAACAATCTTCTGATGATTTTGGTATTATTTCCACTATTCAAGAATTTAATGGAATTCATATTACTGGAGTTGCTGGTGATCAACAAGCATCACTTTTTGGACATGGAAGTCCTATTGGAGGATGCAAATCAACCTATGGAACTGGGTGTTTCGTTGTAAAAAATATTGGGAATTCAATTAAAGAAATACCAAAAGGATTGTTAGCAACTATTGGATGGGAAATTGATGGAAAAATAACATATGCTCTTGAGGGTTCAGTTATGACTGCTGGGGCAGCACTAAAGTGGATAAGAGATATAGGAATACTAAAAGACTATAATGAAATATCAAAAATCGTTCCTTCAAAAAATGGTGGAGTTTATTTTGTACCAGCATTTCAGGGACTTGGCACACCTTATTGGGATGATGACGTTCGTGGTATAATTGTTGGATTAACTAGTGGCACTGGAAAAGGTGAATTAGTTCGAGCTACTCTAGAAAGTATTGCTTTACAATGCGCCCAAGTAATCGAAATTATGGGAAAAATTAATGAGATTAAAGTAGATGGAGGAGTCTCACGATCTGATTGTATGCTCCAGTTTCAAGCAGATATATGCAATTGTACTGTTGTTAGATTGAAAGAAAAAGAAATTACTGCAATGGGAGCAGCTATGTTAGCCGGGTTATATATTCATTTATTTAAAGAAGATGAGTTAGATTCAATGAGAGTAATTGAGCATATATTTAAACCTCAAATGAGTGAAGAAGAAAGAAAGCAAATATTTTCACTTTGGAATAAAGCAGTAGAATCAGCACGTTCATTTGTTCATTAGAGATAATAGAGTTGATAATAAATAACATTATTTAATTTTTTTTCTTATAAACAAACACTTATTTTTGTATATGAAAAAAAACTAAAAAGTAATTAATTAAACAATAAATATGAACTATTCCACTTTTTCTATTATTCAATTAATTTCAACATTTGTTGTAATTGGAATAGAGGTGTATGCAATTGTTTATTGTTACAATGTCATACATAGTGGAGATTCTATTTATCCAGAAAAATATCCGTTAGTGTATTTATATTTTTCAATGATTGGAGCTGTCTTTCTTAATATCCCATCTCTTCTTACAGGAATCTTACAAAGTAAAATAGGGTCAATTTTTGCCATTATTTTTGATATTATAGCTATTGTGATATTGTTTATTGTTTATATCATTGGACAGATATTCCAATTAGGAGTTTCTTCAGTAAATGACCAAGACAAAATAGCAGATATTGAAAAAGAAGGAAATTGTTGTGGATGGAAAACACTAAAAATTGAGGGGTGCCAGGCTAAAGATATAAACAAAGCAGTGCCATGTTACAAAGTTGTTGGAGAGCCATTTCTAGAATCAGTTAATTTTGCAATTAAAATAGATGGATTAGTTATGAAAGCAATAGTGTTATTAATTTGTGTAACACTAGTCTTTATTATTTTCCATCGTAATCAAATAAAAGCCAAACAAGCGTAAAGAAATACAAATTAATTTTTTTTAAATTCAAGTTGAAAAAAGAATAATAAAAAGAAATGAGAGTGAAAGAACAAAGTGCATAAAAGAAAAAAGGAAGAATAAAAATTTTTAAGAAAGAAGAATCAAAGATAATAAGAAATCAAATACGAATTAACTATGACTGTGTTTTCATCATATTGAGAATGGAGAGAATCAGTTTCATTAACATGAATTAATTCAAATGAAATAAGAAGAATAAAAGATAAGAATAAAATCAAAAGAAAATAAAGAAATAGAGAAAAAAAGAATAAAAAAAGACTAAAAAATAGAAATAAGAAAAATAATGGAAAGTGTGAAAAGATTCAACAAATATATTTACTATATATCCACAAGTATATTTTAATAAAATAGATCAATGTTATTATCAATTTATTGAAGTTAAAAAAGAAGAATTTAATAAAGAAAGAATTGAAATAATAGAAAAATGTAATTCACCATATATAAAATGTTATATGAACGAAAGTAATAAAGAAATGATTTCAATAAGATTTTCATTAATTAAAACGAATAAAAGTATTAAAGAATATTGTGAAGAAAAAAGATTACAGGAGAAATTATATGTAAAATAATTCTAGAATTAATTGATGTTATAGTAATACTTCACAAGAAAGGGAGTTTTCATGGGAATTTAAATGAAGAAAGGATAATTATTGATAAAAAAGAAAATAATATATCACTAGGAAGAATAGGAAAAATAAATGGAGAATATAATAAAGAGGAAATGAAGAAAAAAGATTATGAAGATATTGGAATTATAATGATAAATATAATAAGTAATAAATTTGAAAGAAAAAAAGGAGAAGAAATAATAAAAGAATTAAAGAAAGAATAGAATGGATTACAAAAAATAGTAATGAATTATTTACAATTTTTTTTAATAGATATTTAAAAGAAAAATCTAAATCTAAAGAAGTTATTAAAAAATGGATTAAATTAGAAGAAATAATGAGTAATAAAGAAGATGGATAAAAGTAATAATATTAAAATATATTGAACACTATTATAATAAAAGAATAAAAGATAAAGAAAATAAAGAATATATTTATAATTTACAACCATTTTTATTAGATAATTTAAAATATAATATAACAATTCCAAAAGCAACAAGTAATTCAAAAATAATATTTATTGATAATCAATGTAATATAATAAATTTGAAACAAATAATATTAACTAAAAATTCAATTGAAATTATAACAAAAAGAAATAATACAATTATTAAATATAATCATTCAAATAAAGAAGAAAATCAAATATTTGGAGAATTTATTAAAACACAAATAGGAAATGAAGTTATTAATCAAGAAATTATTTTACCAAAAAATAGAAATGATAATTTACAAATTAAATTGTTTTCAAAACCATTAATTTCAATTAAATTATATTGTAATAATTCATTTAAAATTCTTCAAGTTGCAAATCAATTAAGATCATTTGGATATAATGTTAAATGTCAAAAAGGAACTATGATAGAATTAATCAAGAAGAAGGAACATGACATATTTCAATTTTAAATGAACAAGAATCAATAAGAAAACAAAATGTAGAAGAAATAAATATTAGTATTAAAACAATTATAGGTGAATTTACTTATAAATTAAGTGGTTTTATTAAATTAATTAATACTATAAAACCACAAATTCATAGTATTACTTTCATATATTTGGGGAAAAAGAAAAAAATTAGAGAAATACCTTATACAAAAACAAAAATAATTACAATATCAAAAGAAACAATTTGTGATAAAGTAATAAGAGTTAAATCATGTCAAATTTTAAATTAATGTTTTTAAAATAATTATTTATATTTTATACTTTTTGATTTATTTAAATTAATAAAAAAAAAAAAAAAAGAAAAACTTAAAAAACAAAAAAATATAAATTAAAAGAAATGGTATTTATTAAACGAATAAGTCTTAAAGGATTTAAAAGTTATCAAGAACAACTTAATTTTGAAGAATTTGATCCACATTATAATATTATAATTGGAAGAAATGGAACAGGAAAATCGAATTTTTATGATGCAATTCAATTTGTATTATGTGATGAAAAATTTGGAAATTTAAGAGCAAGTGATAGACAATTTTTGTTATATGTTTGTTATAATAAAATAATAAGAAATAAATAAAAACTTATGATATAGGAAGGAAATGGAGAAAGTGTAGTTAGTGGATTTGTAGAAGTTGTATTTGATAATAGTGATAGAAGATTTATGATTGAAAAAGATGAAGTATCAGTTAAAAGATGTATTGGATTACAAAAAGATGAATATTTTATAAATGATAAAAGATCAAAGAAAGAAGAAGTAATGAATTTATTAGAAAGTGCAGGATTTAGTAGAAGTAATCCATATTATATTGTTCAACAAAATCGAGTGAATTCACTTGCTATGATGAAAGATAGTGAGAGATTAGATTTACTTCGAGAAATTGCAGGAACAAGAGTATATGATGAAAGAAGAGAAGAAAGTTTTAAAATGTTAAAAGAAAATCAAAATAAAATAGAACAAATTGAAGAAGTTATGAATTATATTAAAGAAAGATTAACAGAACTTCAAGAAGAACAAGAAGAATTAAATAGATATGAAGAATTAGATAAAAAAAGAAGAGGAATTGAATATTCAATTACAGAAAATAAAATAAAAGAAATTGAAAAAGAATTAGAAGAAAATACAAAAGAAAGGAAAGAAGAAAGTCATATAAAAGAAGAAAAAGAAGAAGAAGAAATTAAAGAAGTTAAAAGAAAAAGAAGAATACTTAAAGAAGAAGTAAATATATTAGAAGAAAGAAGAATAAATATAAGTAATCAAATACAAGAAGCAGAAGGATTAAAAATAGAAGGAGAAATTAGACAAGAAGGAAGAAAAGAAATAAAAGAAATGAAAGAAGAAATAAAAAGAGCTAAAAAACGAAGTGAAGAAATTAAAGAAGAAATTAATAAAATTAATCAAGAAGAAAAAGAAAATAATGATAAAATAAAGGAAAAAAGAATAGAAGAAGCCGAAGCACAAGCTAAAGTTGAAGAATTTTATAATAAAATAGGAAGAAAAGCAAAATATTCAAATGATGAAGAATATAAAGAAGCTATTGAAAAAGAAATTAAAGAAATAAAAGAAAATAATGAAAAAATAGAAAAAGAAAAAAAAGAATTACAAAAAGAAATTGAAGAAATGAAAAAAATAAAAGAAAATCAAATAAATATACAAGAAAAACAAGAAAATTTTAAAGGAAAAATAAAAATGGAAGAATTAAGAAAAAAGAAAGAAGAAATTGGAATTAAAAAAAGAATAAATGATAATAAAATAAATAATTTTGAAAATACAAGAGAAAGATTAATGAAAGAATTAATTAAATTATATAAAAGAGCAGAAGGAACAAGAATAAAAAAACAACTTATAATAGGAGAATATTTAAAAAAATATGTTGAAGAAAAAGGAATAAATAAACCAAAAATTAAATATTATGGAACAGTTATAGAAAATATTTCAAGTGAAGAAAAATTATATACAGCAATTGAAGCAAGTTCAGGAAATGGATTATTATATTGTATTGTTGAAGATGATGAAACAGCTACAAAACTTATAAAAGTACTTGAAGAAAAAAAAATAGGAAGAATGAGTTTTATTCCATTAAATCAAATTAAAAGAAAAGAAGAAAAAGAAGGAGAAGAAACAGAAAAAGTAAAAAGTTTAATTAAAAATATTAAATATAAAGAAGAAGTAAAAAAAGCAATTGAATTTGTTTTTGGAAATACTATGATTTGTGAAAAAGGAGAAGATGCAATAGAATATCAAAAAGAAAATCAAAATAAATGTGTTAGTTTTGATGGAGATGTTTTTAATGGAAAAGGAATTGTTACAGGAGGATATAGAGGAGAAAAAATAATAGAAATAATTAAAAATATTGAAGAAAAAAAAGAAAAAATTAAAGAAATAGAAAAAGATATTGCAAGAAGTGAAACAGAAAAAAAAATAATTGAAGAAGAACAAAAAGAAATTATGAAAGAAATGGAAGAAATGAATAGTAAAATAACAGAAGAAGAAATTAAATATGAAAAAGAAAGAATAGAAAGAATAATTAAAATAAAAAAAAGTGAAAGAATAAGAGAAAATATTAAAAATAAAGAAAAAAGAATAGAAGAAAAAGAAAAAATTATCATTAGAAATACACAAAAATTATTAATACTTCAAAATGAAAAAGAAAATAAAAATATAATTGATAGAAATAAAATTGAAGAAGCTAAAAAAAAATTAGAAGAAATACAAAATAAAGTTAGAGAAATAGAAAAAAAAAGAGTTGAAATAGAAAATAAAAGACAAATTTTAAGAAATGAATATCAATTTGGAATTATAAATAAAATTAATGAAATAGAAAGAAAAATGAGAGAAATAGAAAGTGGAGGAGAAGAAAATGATATTGAAAAATATAAAGAAATCATAATTAAAAATATGGAAGAATTAAAAAAAATTAATGAAGAAATAGAAAAAAAAATTCAAGAAGAAAGAATTTTAGAAGAAAAACAAGAAAATATTGAAAAAGAAAAAGAAAAAAAAGAAAAAATAGAAAAAGAAAGAGAAAAAAAAATGAATAGATTATTTGAAAAAATGACAATTCTTGAATCTAAAAAAAAAGAACTTATTAAAAGAAAAGAAGAAATAGGAAAAAATTATGTAGAAATTAAAGGAAATAAAGAAGAATTAGAAAATTTTCTTGAAGAAACAATGAAAGAAATTAAAAAATATAGACATGTTAATAAAAAAGCAAAAGATCAATATAAAGGATTTATTGAACAACAAGAAGGATTAATTGATAGAAAAAAAGAAATACTTGATACTCAAAAAACTATTTATTCATTAATAGAAAATTTAGATGAAAAAAAAGAAGAAGCTATTGAACGTACTTTTAAAGGTGTTTCTAAAGGATTTACTGAAATATTTAATAAACTTGTTCCACAAGGAAAAGGAACTCTTGTAATGTTAAAAAAACCATATGAAAAAGAACAATTTACTCAATCAACATTATTAACTCAATCACAATCTGAAAATAATTTTTCAATTCTTTCTCTTCCAAAAAAAATTAAAACTGAAACTTATAGTGGTATTTCATTAAGAGTTATTTTTCCTGCTTTTGGTGGTGATGCTAAAACAATTCAACAACTTTCTGGTGGTCAAAAAACTGTTGTTGCACTTTCATTAATATTTGCTATTCAACGTTGTGATCCTGCTCCTTTTTATTTATTTGATGAAATTGATTCTAATTTAGATACTCTTTATAGAGAAGCTGTTGCTACATTAATTCAACAACAATCAAAAGAAGCTCAATATCTTGTTACTACTTTTAGACCTGAATTAATTCTTCCAGCTAATAAATGGTATGAAATAAAACATCAAAATAAAGTTTCTACTATTCTTCCAATATCAAAAGATGATGCATTAAAAGTTATTAAAGAAGAAGGTGAAAGTCATTTAATTAATGGTTATACTCCTTTCCAAACTCCAATCCAAACTCCTCAACGTATAGATTCATCAGAACAACTTACTCCAAATATTTAATTTATTTCTTTTATTTTAATAAATAATTTTAATATTATTATTATTTCTTTTAATTTTTAATTTTTTTTTTTTTATTTCATTTCTCTTTATGATTCTTTCTTAATTCTTTTCATAAATTTTTATTCATTTGTTTTTGTTTTAAATTAATAATTTAATTGTATTATATAAATATTCTATTTAATAAATGTAATAGTAGAATCTGTATTCATAATAATTATTTCTTTATTTCTTTAAAAATATTTTATTATTTTAACTATAACACTAAACTTTTTGTAATGGGTTCAATGAAGAAAAATAATAAATGAAATGATTCTCTTTTTCTTTCATATTTATTATTTAAATATTAATACTAAAAAAATATCTCAATTATATATTATTTCTTCAATGTATTATCTTTAATTTATTTGAACAATTTATCACAATTAATCTTTTATTCTTATATCTAATAAAATATTAATTTCATTTTAATCATAAATTAGTTCTATAAACAAACTAATTTTATTCATTATAAACAAACAAAATTAATAATTCTTCTTTTTAATATCAATTTTATTTCTTATTCTTTCTCTTCAAATTAACCAATTAAATATTATCTAATAATATTTCTCTAAATAATGATTATATTATCTTATTTAGTAAATAATTGTTATTAGAGTTTTCAATTTATTTTTATTGTTTGTAGTTTTATATCATTAATCTTGATTATACTATTATAATTAATTTAAATCAATGTTGAATTTGAGTTTATTTTATTTGTTTTCTTTCATAAACAAATACAATTTAATAATCACATTCATCAGTCTTCATGAGTAAATTTATCTTATATTCTTATTTTATTATTCAATGTATATTTAGTGAACTAATA